AAAAAAAAAAGGCTTTTGGAGGGGTTTTTTTTTTTTTTTTTTTTTTTTTTTTTTCCACAGGGGAGAGTGCGCACGCAGTTCCCCACTACCACAAATTATGCAGCTGAGTTTCCCGCATTTGGGGAAATAGCAGAGGTCAGCACACCCACAGTGCAATGGGTGAGCCTCGCTCCGGGAAAACCACCTTCGTGATCATAGTGTTTCCCCTGCCAGGTAAGTATTATGAGAGGTCTTTAACAAAATCATGGAAAAAAAGCATACTATGTATAAATTTCACAAATTTTTGCACTGATATAAATTTGTACTTTAGTTCCATGTTTTTCTATGAGCTATTTGAAGTCCTCTTGTACTTCTTATTTGTCTAGTTTGGACTGAGGTGATTTGCCATTATTCGTTTATTTAACAAATATTTATGGAGTATATTCTGTGTGCTAGACACTGTCTTAGAGATAGAACATTGAATAAAACAGGTAAAAATCCTTTCTCCCATTGAAATAATTTATTACTGTCAATTTCCTTCTGTAGAAACTAGGTAAAGTATAATCAGTGCCAAGGAGAAGTAATAAAGCAAGGAAGGAGATTTAGAGTAAGGGCCATTGTAGAAAGAGTGGCCAGGGAGGGGGTGTAGTAGTTAAGGGTGCTGGACTCCCACAAAGCTAGCTGACCGCAATTCAAGTCCCAGACCTGTCAGCTTGCTTTCTCACTTTCTCTCTCTCTCTTTCTCTCTCTCTCTCAATTCCTCTCTGGTCAAATAAAAAAAAAAATGTAAAAAGAAACAAAGAAAGAGTAGCCAGGGAAGGTCTTACAGAGCAGGTGAATAAAGACCTAAAGAAGTCAGGGAATCAGCCTAGTGACTCCAGGGAAAAGTAGCACACACAGAATCAACACCAAGCTTGAAGGCCAGGGAGGATGAGAGTCAGTAGGGCTAAAGCTCAGTGAGAGAGAGAGAAAGCGCTAGGAGGTAAACTTAGAGTGGAAAAGGTCTAAATGAGAGAGGGTCATGCGGTACCAGGAATCTATGGCATGAAAGTAGGAACCAGGTCCCTACCACTCCACTCACCCTCTAGCCACCACAGTTTCTTTTATTCCCGAAATTGTGCACGAAGCTCACCTTTTTTTCCTTATGAGTCAGCTTCTTTACTCAAAGTTCCGCAGTCCATCCTTGTCTCCACAGTAAAGGCCAGGCTCCATCTCGGGCAATCAGCCTAGAAACTCAAAGAAAGCCTCTATATAAAGTGCCAGAATCTTCTGTTTTCTGCCTAAAGAGAAAGGGCCTTTTAAAATAACCTGATGTGAGAAATTCAAGAATCTAGGCCTCCAAGGATCAGCTTTCTAATCCCAAAGGTAAAAGAAAGGGAAGGGAACATTACTCTCCTATGGAAGTGAGAACACAGAAATCTACAGCTCATCAAATTATTCTGTTGTCCTGGGTGCAGGGCAGGCTCTGAGAAGAACTTCTGTTACACAGTGAGGCACTTGCTGAGGTCTGTGGTAATTACAGACTGGCTCTCTATTTCACCATCTTTAAACTGTCAACTCTATGGGAAAAAGACAAGGTTTTATTTAATTTTCCATCCCCAGATCCTATGACATAACTTGCAAGGTTGGCATTCACTAAATGACTGCTGACTAAGTGAAATAAGTGAATGACAGGGATAATAAGCATTCCCACATTCTGTCACAGAATGGGTTGCTCACAAAACCCAAATAAGAAAGAAGGGGCAGCCTGATATGGCATAGCCCATCTTGAATGGGTGCATCAAAAGTACCAGAGGAGTATTGTGTCAGAAACCATTAGCTATCTCCCAATATATATTCTCTCTTTTCTAAAATATATAATTTTGGGCTGGTTTAAAGTGCACCTAGGAAAAAAGGGAAAGAACAGAAGAGAAAGAAAGGAGAAAAGGAAGGAAGAAAGGAAAGAAGCAAGGAAGGAAGGAAGGAAGATAAAGAAAGAAAAAGAAAGGAGAAAGAAGGAAAGAAAGAGAAAAAAAGAAACAAAGGAAAGAAAGAAAGAAAGAAAGAAAGAAAGAAAGAAAGAAAGAAAGAAAGAAAGAAAGAAAGAAAGAAAGGAAGGAAGGAAGGAAGGAAGGAAGGAAGGAAGGAAGGAAGGAAGGAAGGAAGGAAGGAAGGAAGAGAAAGAGGAAGAAAGAAAGGAAGGAAGGGAAGATTTTTTTCCTAACCTTCCTTGTACCTTGATATGGCCATGTGACCCAGTTCTGGCCAACAAGATATATGGATGGATGTGGAAATCATGTTTCCTTTTAAAATAAGGAAGAATTTCCCTGAAACTCTTCACACTGTCTGTAATGAGGCTGTCGTGGTGAGGTATCGTTGATCATACTGACTGACCAATACCCTATGATTGGCAGAGCAAAGAGAAACAAGGGTATGTCCCTAATGCTGTAAAGTCTCTAAATGAGCATTGTATTGCTTACACCAGGATTACAAAAGTCATTGTTATTGTGGGTCTCAGTTACAGCAAGTGAACCCATCCTAAAAACACTGATGACATTTAGTTTCCTACTTTATGACTAAGTCCCTTAAGCAGTACAGAGCTTCTTCCTACGATAGGTTGAGAATACACATTGAGAATACTTGAAACATCTTCAAAATCATCAAAGTGGATAATGATTTAGGAGAGAGCATGATGCCTTTTTCATCCTTAATGTGTTATAAGAGAACTAGAGAAATCATAAACTTTGTGGGTTCTGTCCTATATGCAATTAAAATATAGCACCACCTATAAATTGTACATTTCTTCTTCAATTCAGAAGGTTGGTTGAACTCATAAAAAAAAAAAAAAGTTAAAAAAAAAAGCATCCACTTCCGCACTCTGCTTCTTATTTGTCATATGAAGCCCAGAACTGTGGATTTGCATTGACCCAGCAAACAAAGGCAAGGTCAAATATTGTATGGTAAACTCCATCCGGATAGAAATCAGGGTAACCCTGAGTCCTGAAGTTTCCATTGTCTAACTATCTTTCTCAATCTGCCATCTTCTTTGTGGCCCTTTACTTTTTAGTTCTCTGGAAATTAATTCACTACTTTAAACCTAGCTCCTTTCACTTAAATCACTGTGAATCATACAGCTTTTTATGAAGTGGAAACCAAACTGTATCTTTTCATTGCTCAAGCGTGCTCTAACAGTCACTAATATTTTCAAGACAGAGTTCCTGATTTGTAAGTAGAAGATTTTTCATGATGCGGCTTTTGCCTTCTTTGAAGTCCACCTTCTCTCATTGTCCACTGAACTCATCATGGCATAAATTCCACATGCTCTTTTCCATCTTCATGTAATTACGTGTGTTCTTCTTGACTGGATCTTAGGGTAATTTACTATTATTATTTTCCTTTGATTCTTTTTTTCTGTTTTCTCTTCTAGAAAAAATTCTTCCATTGTATCCCTAGAGCATATTCTAGATAAATCTGTAATGGGACTTAACCTGTGCTGTTTATAAATCTGCTCTTCATTATATTTTTATATACTCTTAAAGGCAAACATCACAAGTCTTTTCATTTATCTTTGACATCTTGCACAGTAAAAAAGCCACCTAGTGAATGTTAGATAAATGAATGAGACCTGATTTCTGTAACTCCTTCCTAGTGTCAACAGCATCTTCCTTTTTTCACAATAGGATTTTGACTTGAAATGTTTGGAAAATTGATTCTACTCTTGCCTTTGATTTGACACTATAAGTCAAAGAATGGCAGTTCCAGAAGGGACAGAAGGCATCTACAAAGGGCCCTTGCCAACACTGATCACTTAACCGATGGAGGAGGGTGCCTACTCAAAGGCAGAGAGATTGCCTTCGCCATTACAGAAATCAAAATTGGAACAGAAGGATTTATACGAGCTCTGAATTCTTACTAATGACTGTTAATAACACGGCAGAGGAATAAAAGCAAAATTGCCATAGTTACACATAAAATAACAACTTTAATTGGCAAAATTAAACTTCTAATAGCTAAAGCTATATCAAGGTGGCTGAACTCCTTTTGGAGCCAAAGTGACTTGGATAATAGAAACCACATCTGATGTATTTTAAGGTCTTCTGTTACCATATGTGCTCCACTCACAGTGACAGATGGGCATTGATATTTTTTTCTCAACTGCACAAAAGCTAGCTGAAGCATATGCAAAACTCTTAATGGCATTAAAGTTTTGCCAATTAAAAACATGTTCAAGCATTTGATACAGTACTTGATAACATGTTTCACAAGTTCTATTCTGAATTTTAAATCATGATTTCTATTACATTATTTGTCAAGCTAGTGTGAATAAAACAATTATCACATGGGTCACATTTTCAGCCCTTTTATCATTTTGGCACCTGTCAAATTTAATGATGAAAAAGCCAGCAGCATCATTAAATGGTTATAGGAAAAAGTGAAGGAATAAGTTACAAATAATATACACGAACAGTTTCATGTGTTCATTTTGTCTTATATCTTACAAAAGATAAGCTAATTTGGGTAGTAAAAGTGGGCCATTAGTGAAAAGATAACCCTCTCCCAACCTATTGGCCAAAGTTACATACTTCTTTAACTAAGCATAAAGTTCAGAGTAATTCCTAATGCTTTTAAGAGACTGATGTTTTCTATATTGGTTAATCCATCTTTGTTTGTTGTTTGTTTTATATTAGCATTTTTAGAGAACTTTTCATTTGTTCCCTGCTCCTCAGGCTGGGCTGTAGACCTTGTTCTCTCCCTGGATGTTCGAGATCTTGAGAAACACATTTTACCTTTGGATCATCCTGTTTCTGCATTATCTACAAACGTGAATTTAACTGTTGTCAGTGGCCACTCATGGTGGTGCCATAAAGCAGTACTCCACAATGCTGAGATCCCATAGGGGAGTCCCAGCTTCATGTCCCCTATGCATACTGGGTACCCACATGGCCTGGACCCAGTGGCTTGAAAATCACTCCAGGTTTGTGTGCATGTGTGCCCAAGATCCAGAAAGGAGAATGGAAAAGAAGGGATTGTGACATGGCCATTCCCCCCATGTACTCACTTTCTCTGTTTCTCTGGTCAGTGCATGTGCTCTAAGGCCAAAACCTCTTAAAAAAATAATAATAATGAATGAGTAAATTAGTGAGCAGACTGTCTCCCGGAGAGAGTAGAAATTTTCAAATGGACCCATTCATGAATTTCAATGTTTGCTTGCTTTTCGGTTAATGAATTTCATAAACTCCTTTTTACTAAGTCGCTACCTCTT